TTTTCCCCGGAATTCCGTGTTTTCCCGCAGGTGAAGCGTGCTCTGGTGCAGCTGATCAGTGCCATGGCTCACCACGGATTCCTGGAGCAGCCGGCTGGGGAAGCTCTCCTGGAATTCCTGATCCGTCAGTGCGCCCTGCCCATGGATGAGGTCAGAATTCCCAAATTTCCTCCCAAAATTCCCAATTTTCCCCACCCTTTCCCCTTTTTTCCTTCCTCTCCCATTTCTTCCCCTTTTTTCCTGCCTTTTCCTCCCCTTTTATCCCAATTTTTTCCTTTTCCTTTCCCTTTTTTCCCATTTTTTCTCCTTTTCCTTCATTTTTTCTCCCATTTTTCCCATTTTTTTCCTTTATCCATCATTTTTTTTCCCATTTTCCTCCCATTTTTTCCCATTTTCCTCCCTTTCCCTGATTCCCTCCTTTTATCCCAATTTTTCCTTCTGTCTTATTTCTTCTCTTTTTCCACCATTTTTTCCCATTTTCCTCCCATTTTTCCCATTTTTCCTCCCATTTTTCCCATTTTTCCTCCCATTTTTCCCATTTTTCCTCCCATTTTTCCCATTTTTCCTCCCATTTTTCCCATTTTTTTCTCTTTTTCCATCATTTTTCCTCCCATTTTCCTCCCATTTTTTCCCATTTTCCTCCGTTTCCCTGATTTCCTCTTTTTACCCCAATTTTTCCTTCTGTCTTTTCCCTTCTTTTTCCAAATTTTCCCCTTTTTTCCCTTTTTTCTCCCTTTTTTCCTCCCATTTTTCTCCTTTTCCCCTTTTTTCCCAATTTTTATCTCTTTCCTTTCCCTTCATTTTCCTCATTTTCTTCTTTTTTTCTGTCATTTGCCTTCTTCTTTTCCCATTTTTTCCCATTTTCTCCCAATTTTCTCCCAATTTTCTCCCAATTTTCTCCTTTTCCCTTTTATCCCAATTTTTCCTTTTCCTTTTCTTCCCCATTTTTCTCTTTTTCCACCATTTTTCCTCCCATTTTCCTACTTTTTTTCCATTTTCTCTCATTTTTTCCCACTTTTCTCCATTTCCCTCTTTTCCTGCTTTTATCCTGATTTTTCCCTGTCTTTTCCTTAGTTTTCCCCCATTTTTTTCCCCTTTTCCCACTTTTTTCTTCCATTTTCCTCACATTTTTTTCCCATTTCTTCCCATTTTTCCCTAATTTTCCCCATTTTCCTCCTTTTCCCTTTTTATCCCAATTTTCCCCCTTTTCCCACCTTTCCCTTTCCTTTCTCCACCATTTTTTCTCCCCTTTTCCTGCTTTTTTCTCCCATTTTCCTGCCATTTTTTCCAATTTTTTCCTGTTTTTCTCCTTTCCCCCTTTATCCAAATTTTTCCCTTTCCTTTCCCTTTTTTTCCCATTTTTTCCTCTCTTTTTCTGCCATTTTTTTCCTTTTTTCCCATTTTTCCCCATTTTTCTCCATTCCCCCTTTTCCCCCTTTTTTCCCAATTTTTTCCTCTTTCCTTTTCCCCCTTCCCCATTTTTCTCTCCCATTTTTCCTCCCCTTTTTCCCCATTTTTCTCCATTCCCCCTTTTCCCCCTTTTCCCTATTTATTTTTCCCATTTTTCCTCCCATTTTTCCCCATTTTCTTCCCATTTTTCCCAATTTTCCCATTTTTCTCCTTTTCTCCCTTTTATCCCAATTTTTCCCCCTTTTCCTCTCCTTTCTCCACCATTTTTTCTCCCCGTTTCCCACTTTTTCCTCCCATTTTTCCCCATTTTCTTCCCATTTTTCCCAATTTTCCCATTTTTCTCCTTTTCTCCCTTTTATCCCAATTTTTCCCCCTTTTCCTCTCCTTTCTCCACCATTTTTTCTCCCCGTTTCCCACTTTTTCCTCCCATTTTTCCCCATTTTCTTCCCATTTTTCCCAATTTTCCCATTTTTCTCCTTTTCTCCCTTTTATCCCAATTTTTCCCCCTTTTCCTCTCCTTTCTCCACCATTTTTTCTCCCCGTTTCCCACTTTTTCCTCCCATTTTTCCCCATTTTCTTCCCATTTTTCCCAATTTTCCCATTTTTCTCCTTTTCTCCCTTTTATCCCAATTTTTCCCCCTTTTCCTCTCCTTTCTCCACCATTTTTTCTCCCCGTTTCCCACTTTTTCCTCCCATTTTTCCCCATTTTCTTCCCATTTTTCCCAATTTTCCCATTTTTCTCCTTTTCTCCCTTTTATCCCAATTTTTCCCCCTTTTCCTCTCCTTTCTCCACCATTTTTTCTCCCCGTTTCCCACTTTTTCCTCCCATTTTTCCCCATTTTCTTCCCATTTTTCCCAATTTTCCCATTTTTCTCCTTTTCTCCCTTTTATCCCAATTTTTCCCCCTTTTCCTCTCCTTTCTCCACCATTTTTTCTCCCCGTTTCCCACTTTTTCCTCCCATTTTTCCCCATTTTCTTCCCATTTTTCCCAATTTTCCCATTTTTCTCCTTTTCTCCCTTTTATCCCAATTTTTCCCCCTTTTCCTCTCCTTTCTCCACCATTTTTTCTCCCCGTTTCCCACTTTTTCCTCCCATTTTTCCCCATTTTCTTCCCATTTTTCCCAATTTTCCCATTTTTCTCCTTTTCTCCCTTTTATCCCAATTTTTCCCCCTTTTCCTCTCCTTTCTCCACCATTTTTTCTCCCCGTTTCCCACTTTTTCCTCCCATTTTTCCCCATTTTCTTCCCATTTTTCCCAATTTTCCCATTTTTCTCCTTTTCTCCCTTTTATCCCAATTTTTCCCCCTTTTCCTCTCCTTTCTCCACCATTTTTTCTCCCCGTTTCCCACTTTTTCCTCCCATTTTTCCCCATTTTCTTCCCATTTTTCCCAATTTTCCCATTTTTCTCCTTTTCTCCCTTTTATCCCAATTTTTCCCCCTTTTCCTCTCCTTTCTCCACCATTTTTTCTCCCCGTTTCCCACTTTTTCCTCCCATTTTTCCCCATTTTCTTCCCATTTTTCCCAATTTTCCCATTTTTCTCCTTTTCTCCCTTTTATCCCAATTTTTCCCCCTTTTCCTCTCCTTTCTCCACCATTTTTTCTCCCCGTTTCCCACTTTTTCCTCCCATTTTTCCCCATTTTCTTCCCATTTTTCCCAATTTTCCCATTTTTCTCCTTTTCTCCCTTTTATCCCAATTTTTCCCCCTTTTCCTCTCCTTTCTCCACCATTTTTTCTCCCCGTTTCCCACTTTTTCCTCCCATTTTTCCCCATTTTCTTCCCATTTTTCCCAATTTTCCCATTTTTCTCCTTTTCTCCCTTTTATCCCAATTTTTCCCCCTTTTCCTCTCCTTTCTCCACCATTTTTTCTCCCCGTTTCCCACTTTTTCCTCCCATTTTTCCCCATTTTCTTCCCATTTTTCCCAATTTTCCCATTTTTCTCCTTTTCTCCCTTTTATCCCAATTTTTCCCCCTTTTCCTCTCCTTTCTCCACCATTTTTTCTCCCCGTTTCCCACTTTTTCCTCCCATTTTTCCCCATTTTCTTCCCATTTTTCCCAATTTTCCCATTTTTCTCCTTTTCTCCCTTTTATCCCAATTTTTCCCCCTTTTCCTCTCCTTTCTCCACCATTTTTTCTCCCCGTTTCCCACTTTTTCCTCCCATTTTTCCCCATTTTCTTCCCATTTTTCCCAATTTTCCCATTTTTCTCCTTTTCTCCCTTTTATCCCAATTTTTCCCCCTTTTCCTCTCCTTTCTCCACCATTTTTTCTCCCCGTTTCCCACTTTTTCCTCCCATTTTTCCCCATTTTCTTCCCATTTTTCCCAATTTTCCCATTTTTCTCCTTTTCTCCCTTTTATCCCAATTTTTCCCCCTTTTCCCTATTTATTTTTCCCATTTTTCCTCCCATTTTTCCCCATTTTCTTCCCATTTTTCCCAATTTTCCCATTTTTCTCCTTTTCTCCCTTTTATCCCAATTTTTCCCCCTTTTCCTCTCCTTTCTCCACCATTTTTTCTCCCCTTTTCCCACTTTTTCCTCCAATTTTTCCCCATTTTTCCCTTTTCTTTCCTCCTTTTCCCTTTTTCCTTTCCTTTCCCACATTTCCCCCTTTTCCCACATTTTCCCCACATTTTCCCCCTCTCTTTTTTACTTTTTTTCCCATTTTTTTCTCTTTTTTCCCACTTTTCCCCCCATTTTTCCTTTCTTTCATCCTTTTCCAATTTTTCCTTTTCTTTTCCACTTTTCTTCTCTTTTTTCCCTTTTTTCCCATATTTTTCCTACTTCCCCTTTCCCCCCTTTTTTTCCCTTTCTTTCCCCTTTTTCCCATTTTTTCTCTTCCCTTTTCCACTTTTTTCCTCTTTTTTCCTCTTTTTTCCTATTTTTTCCTCTTTTTTCCTATTTTTTCCCATTTTTTCCCATATTTTTCTCTTTTTCCCCCTTTTCCCCCTTTTTCCCCCTTCCCCCTCTTTTTCCCTTCTTTGCCCATTTTTTCCCATTTTTCCCCATTTTTCCCTTTTTCTTTCCCCCTTTTCCTATTTTTTATCTTTTCTTTTCCACATTTCCCCCTTTTCCCACATTTTCCCCACATTTTTCCCATTTTCCCCTCCCTTTTCCTCCTTTTTTCCCTTTCTCTCCCCATTTTCCCAATTTTTCCTCTTTCTTTCCAACTTTTCCCATTTTTTCTTTCTTTTTCCACTCTTTTTCTCATTTTTCCCCCTTTTCCCCCCTTTCTTCCCCATTTTTCCTTTTTTTCCATTTTTCACCTTTTTTTCTGTTTTTCAACCTTTTTTTCCTTTTTCTTCCCCCCTTTTCCCCCTTTTCCATCTTTTTTCCCCACTTTTTTCCCAACTTTTTCCCCTCTAGTTTTCCTGCATTTTCCCCTCTTTTTTCCACATTTTTTCCCACTTTTTCCCCATTTTTCCCACTTTTTCCCACTTTTTCTCCCCTTTCCCCCTCTTTTTCCCATTTTTCCCATATTTTTCCCTGCTTTTCCCCCTTTTCCCCCTTT